AAACGTTAAAGAGCCATATGGCAAAGTGTTATATGAAGAAATTCAGTTTTAGGCCTAATAACACCTACAATATACTATTTTATAATTTTTGTCATTGCCTTCCCATTTGCCATGATAAATTCTTTATATGCATCAGTACCCTTTCATTCAACCTTTCTCATTTTCTGCCAAACTGTTTGTGAACAGTTATGTCTTTTACTTTTGAGATTCCCTTTCAGTCCTCTTCATTAGGCTATCACTATGAGGAAAGTTTAAAGCAAGCTTGATACAGCCATTTTTATTTGCCTTCTCTAAAATTAGCAAATTTGTCAACTTATTAATAGCAATGAAGGATAAAAATCCTCGATTTTACATTTAGCCCTGTGGATGAATTTCCTTTGGACATCAGGATTTGCAAAACACAAAACTTATTATTTTTGGTTGCTTGCATCTGTTTTATGGAAAGAGCTATCCAGATTTTGGTTTGTTTAAACTTCCTATTCAACTCAAAGATGTTGGTATTTTATTATTGGCTTAAATTACTTTGAATTTTCTTATGTGGGAATCACACTCAAATCCTGTTTGTGAAATCTGAACTCCACGAACAGTGCCTTTCAATGTATCCACATAAGTGCAGCCTTCACTTCGAGATAGTCTTGATAATAGGCCTTTTTATATTGGTTCCCCTAAATCCTGATGATCCGTCCAAATAAATTTAAGCCCTGATTAATCTTGGCTTCATCCGCATACATAAAATCTTTTGGTATATTCAGACTTAAGGATATATGATATCCTTACTTGGCTATTCATTTACCCAAACAAGTTTAAACTGCATTTATCTATCTATACTCGCTGTGCAGAGAAGAGGCAACCCTCTCTCACCGAATGCAAATTAATTGCAAATTTATATGCATAATTTTTAAATTTATCAGCTATTTGATTGACTTTGAAATGCTCTTGCTAAACATACAACTGGAATTATTTTTATTGACTTCGTCAAATAGACTCAATTATCTACATGTATTGCAAGTCTCTGTAGTCTTATTTCTACAATTCAGTTAATAAAAGCAAATCACATATAAAAATTTAATATAAATGCTATTTAAAATAAGTTAATAGGAAGTTTTATTATGCAACGTAATTAATATTGCAGACTCTATCTTTAATTTGTCAAAACAGCGGCGGAAACTTTAATGAATGCCGCCCCTTAGGAAATGTGATTTGTGGGCATAATATACTCTAATTATAGGGATTTCAAAAATCCTACCGAAATGTTAATTAGGTTATTTTTTAGAGGTGGTACCTTTGTTTTGTCCTATACTCTTTTCAAAGCAGAGCTACAAAGTAACAACTCGCTAGTGGAAGTTTTTTCAGAAGACGCATAGTCAGGAGTCGGTTGCAACAATATTCTGTAAGTCCTAGTTGTAGTACTGACTTAACGTAACCTCATTTCCACAATCTATCCGGGCCAGTGGGAAACCACATTGCCACAAGTGGCCCTGGGTCATTGGAGAGATGAGAATTTCAAGGAAAGCCAGGCATTTTCTCATATCTCAGTCTGTGATGGGATTGTTGATGAAGCAAATTAAATTTGATACAATAATCAACTAACCTACTTCTATTTAGTTTATAGGCGGATTTTTGAAACTTTCAGTAAATCTGTTATATGAGATGTATTCACCCTACTTCGTTTAAGGTGGTGAACGCCAACCTTTTCACTAACTTTAGCTAGTTTTATTAAGTGATACTTTCAGTTTTGATGTGGTAGAGCAGAGTTTCATTTTAGGTTGTGTCGAAACTATTTTTAAATCATTTGCAAATAATATAATTATTCGAGGACTAGCGTTCTCTGTAACCGAAGTTTCTCTTCAGCTGGATAAATAAGCTCCATTGACTTGATTTTAATTTATTATTGAAAAACTCATTAGTCGATAGTGTATCTCTTCCTTACTTATAGGCATTGCCATTCTTCAAAATAAATGACAACTTTTCTGTCAACAAACGTCTCGAATAAATATATGTAAGAATGTTGTTTTATTATATTGCCCAAATTAAGTTTCCATTAAGTATGGCAGAAATAATTTAGTTATATAATAATTTGTTTGCCCAGTTACGTTTTTCAGCTCAGATACAAGTTAAATCACCCAGCTGAACAGAAACTCAGAATTTCTATGACAACATTTTGACATTTCCATAATGTCAATAAAAGTTAACCAATAATTACATAACGCGTATTCATTAATATAGCATTCGCAATAGTTTTCTGGATCATTTAGTTTTGCAAGTGTCCTTTTTCGAACAGTTTTTATTTCTATACTTCACGACGAGGAGTTGGTGGATGATGAAGCTCCTTGATGAAATCAACTGGTCTCCTAGGCACTCAGAAATCATCAGAAATCTCACCATTAATTGACGAAAGGTTTATCTTCCCAAAAAGCGAATTACTAATAGTTGTGACCAAATGAGTAGCAGATAAATTCATAAAATTGTCCAAATTATTTTAACTAGCCAATTGCTTATCACCGAACCGACAGCGCCCTGTAACAAAGCGACGCCAGAATCGTGTATCCGCAAGTTAATGTGGTTCCTGCTGAACCTGAATTTCTGCTGTCTCGGATTTGCTTAGAATATTGGAGTCCTAAAAGCTTTCCTTCGATGCATGGAGTGATAACACCATTTTGTGAACCACATTTCATCAAAAAATTGTCAGCTCTGCATTTTTCTACTTCCAGTGGCAAGGATAGGGCATTCGTCTGTACTGCCTCGGCCAGGTCAGGTTTGCTCGAATGGCCGACCAATGCCCGGCTGGTAGAGGTGGGAACTAAAGGGGAAGCAGAAAAGTGAGGGGAAATTGTGCATGTCTGGTTGTCAGGCGGGCTCATTAACAGGGAAAGGCGGCAGATACCTGTTGGACCTCTGCGCCCTGGTACGGCCAGCTAAGGTTACCTGAGGTTAAGCAAGCAAGAAGAAAGCATCATGATTGTTGAAGCTGAGGCCGAGGAACAGATCAATAAAGGGTGCCAACCAGAAGTCTATACAGAATTTCTGTAGTTTGGAATTGCAAACCGTGTTGTCGAGTGGTTGGCGGAGGAAGAGGAAGAGAATTTTCATTGAAAGGAGGATAGTTTAGTGTCGTGGTGTCGACAACTAGGTTGCCACGATGGCATACCTGCTGTCAGTTTAGAAGTTCTAGCTTCTTTATGTTTCCTACCTTCCTATACAGTTGTTCGGATTGAAAGGTGAGGCAAATTGTTGGTTTGGTCTGAAATGGCGATAGATTTTAGTCCACGACTAGTCCTGCAGGTGGGAAATCTTTGCAACCAATTAAGGGCAAGCCCGGTGCTAGCACTTTAAAACTTTTGTTTTAGGAACGAGTGTTTGGCCTGTCTGTGATTTTTTTTCAATGCACTCAAAATATTACTTGTTTGGAGGCATCGGTTGGATTTATATAATTATATTTTTTATTTTTCTAAAATCTTCTCAGGGTAGCCTGTCTTGAAAGTCTAATGTTCTAGTGGAATTTTCATACACAATCTTTTTAGCGGTTCCGGCCAACCGAGATTCTAATGCATAATAGCACGCACACAAAGGGAATGTAAAATTAAAAGGAAAATCAGAATTTGTATTAAGGTTAAACTGCAGTATAGAAATTTCTTGCTCTCATTACATTTGCATAGTTTCGCTCTTCTCATTAAACTGTAATTTAAGGAGTGATGACTTCATCGGGCCGCATAGTGGTGACTTATGTCGGAGAAAGCCACAACTGCAGGATGCTGATAATTTGATATAGATCAAGTAAGTTTTGGCAAATAAGAGCCGAGAAACAGGTTTTAACTAAGCTATTAGTAATCAACCCTGGGACTATTCCTATGCCCTGTGGGAAAA